TTATCAATAGTGACATTGTAACACTATTATTTGTCATAAATCTCTGAATAACACCCCACATGTACATATTTTTTTTAAAGTAGACAACCTAGGGTATTCAATATGGGGTATGTCCAGTCTTTTTTAGTAGCCACTTAGTCGAAAACACTGGCCAAAGTAAGCATTCATATTTGTTTGTGTGTGAAAAAGTAAAAAAACTAAATTGAACGCTAATTTTGGCCAGTGTTTGTGACCAAGTGGTTACTAAAAAGACTGGACATACCCCATTTGCAATACCTTGGGTTGTCTTCTTTTGCAAATGGTATGCCATCATGGGGGTAATTCTCATTCCTGGGCTACCATACGCTCTCAAAGGCAACGTAACCAACCTGGCCATTTTCAATGTAAAATATTTGACCCATATATTTGACCTTGTAACTTTCAAAAATGCTATAAAACCTGTACATGGGGGTTACTGTTTTACTCGGGAGACATCGCTGAACACAAATATTAGTGTTTAAAAACTGGAAAACGTATCACAACAATTATATCATCAGTAAAAGTGCTGTTTGTGTGTGAAAAAATGCAAAAAAAGTAACTTTCACTGACAATATCATCACTGTGATATGTTTTACTGTTTTGAATCACTAATATTTGTGTTCAGCGAAGTCTCCCGAGTAAAACAGTACCCCCCATGTACAGGTTTTAGGGTGTCGTAGAACGTTACAGGGTAAAATACAGTGCTAGCAAATTAAATTTTCTGGAATTTCGGCCTGGGTTGGCAGGCAGGTCCCTCAAATTGCAATCAATAAAATTACTTAATTATGTAAAATATTACATAAATACGCACGTAGAATTTAAATATATATGCATATTTATATATTTGAAGTCTACGTGTATATTTATATAATTATTTATGTAATTTTGTATATGGACGTATGTATGTTTCTTATTATTTTTATTTATTTTTATATACATAGATATATATACAAATTCATTCTAAGTGTATTTTGATATAAATATATATATATTAATTTTAAAATACAGTTAGAATAAAATTTCATATAGCTATATAATGTTTTTTAAATTTTTTATTATTATTTAAAAAAAAATTTATTTAATTTAAATTACTTATTATTTATATTTTATAATAATATATATATACAATATATATAGTTATTATATATATTATATATATACGTGTGTAATTTAATTATAAGTGTATTTTTATATTAATATAAGTACATATTAATATAAAAATACACTTAGTATGACATTTATATATGATATATAGACATATATTATATAGATATAATATATGTCTATATATCCTATATACACATATATAATTATTTATTTATTTTTTATTAACATTAACTTTATTTATTTTTTTGATTTTACACTAGCAGGGAGACTGCCTGTCAGCACAGGCAGTCCCCCTGCAGGCAGCACTATGGACACCCATTGTGACCATGTGATCGCTGTGTTAAGCGATCACATGGCCCCAGGGGTCCTAATTCAGTGTGGGGAGACTGTCTGGGCTGCAGGCAGTCTCCCCACAACCGGAGCCACGCTGATCGCCGCCGGGGGAACGACGGCGATCAGGTAAGTAGCTCTGACCGTTAGGACGGTTCAGGACCGTCATCGGTCGGCAACGCAAAAATGCCGATGACGGTCCTGAACCGTCCTCGGTCCTTAAGGGGTTAAAGAGTTAATTTTTTTTATTGTTTTGTCCATTATGGAGAACTTGGGGGTTCAGAAAGAGAAAAGGGGGGGTTGACAATTAGGTTACATTTTGGTTCCGATTCATTTTTGTTGTCCATTGTTGTTTTGCAATTGGTTACATTCGGTACATTGATATAGAGTTCACTTTTATTGTTGACATAATATTAACAGTAGTTTTAACACCCTGATACCTCAGTTCTCATCTTATCCCTGTGCATAGTCATTTCGTTGTAGTTGATGGTTTGTTCTGAAGTTATATAAATTTGTTGAAGCTAGCTATGGAATTTTTTGTGTGTCGGGTGAACAATGAATTTCCCTGAAGGCTTTGTTACTGTAGTTTTGCCATCTTGTTGTTGTGTAGTCCCAACTGTATGTTATGTATCAGCCTTTATTCCCTTATGTTTTGCTTCCCCAAATACATGGGTTTAAATTGTGTCCTGAGTTCAGCCGAGTTTGTTCCCGTTTGCGATAACATCCTTGGAGTGTCTGCGCTGGGGACTAAGAGCCAAGCGTGCTTTGTACCTTCCGTCTGATCCCATATCTAGTCGGTGCCCCTGGAATGTCGAGTGGGTTTGTAAGGTCTCTTACAAGTTAGGTGTGGCATCGGGAACTGTCTTCCCGAAATTTTCCCATTTTTCCCAAGCGATCTCCCAGTAGGGTCTGTACTTTCTATGGCTTTTGTTTGGGGGTATGTTCTGTCACCTCATAGTGGTTTCAAAGTAACAAGACGTACACTGATAACTGGACACATGTTGACCTACACGGACGGGTTTAAGCATTTACTCATGTACAATTAGACTACAGATCATTCCAACTGGAGGGTGTTGGGCATGATGGGATAAAAACACCAGCCTTTCACTACTGTCCCGGGTCGCTATTGGTGGGCAAACCGGCTCCTGGAGGTGCTAGATTGATGGCAGAGGAGGGAGATAGGATCACATGAAGCAGTACTAACCTGTAACTTATAAGTCATCAGAGATATACAATATCTTAATTTACAAAGCTTTGTGATGTGGTTTGTTAATTTTTATTCATGAATCTTGTTCTTTCCATTAAACCTTTCTCACACACAGTTATTGAATGTACATTGCTCCAGTTACTACTCATGACTATGCATGGACATTCAGGTTTCTTATTGCTCTGCTTTCTCTTCTTAAGAATGGTCCTGCGAGACCAGACATATCTACCATATCTATTTTAAATTCAAGTAGAATTCCTGGCAATACACAGTTTAGTGAAAAACACTGTATGATGGAAGGTATACACAAAATGTTGATAAATAGATCTTTTTTTTTCCCGCAATTAAATACATTAGGATTTTCTCTAATATATTTAGGTAAAAACAAATAGTCGTTTCCTGTTGTACGTGGACTGTGAAATGTCCCCTGTGAGTGTCCATCATTATTAAGCCAGTATAGCAGGACTTGGTTTGCCTTTATACCTTTTATCCAGTATCACAATATCTTGATGGAATCGTTCTACAAGCTCATCAGTAAGTGTACCCTTATTGATGAATAACTACTTTCCTTACAAAGGAATTATGAGAAATATATTTGTATCCCTCTCTCTACACCAAATGGACCACAAACGGTGGTGCCACAAGCTCTCTCCGTGACACCTTTGTATCTTTTCCTACATTAACCATGTCTGCAGAGATAGCTTTGTGTATTGTATATACATACTTTTTAACCAACCTTTAAAGGTCTTTTAAAATTGGCAAATACTGGCCAAAAGTGTGCAAATAACTGTGATCTTTTCTTCTGCTGGTTTAAGAAGTTTCCAGTATATCTATGTAAATATCTCTTCGTATTAACTGTAACTTACACTGATGGTCAGGTCAGTTTATTGAATAAGCCAGCTGTTGGAATGATTGAGTGAAGAACAGATTTAGTCATTGCACAGCAGCCGGGATTTATTGTAACATACATGGACAGTCAGATCCAATTCACTACTACTACACGTTATTCTATGATCGGTTTAGTATTCACCAAAAATGCTGCACTTGTGTTAACCTAGACACCTTGCTGACTAATAAATGCAATACGTGTGCTACATCTACATCACTGAAAGGGCAAATCTCCAATTATTTCATAGTATGGAGGGCTGTAATGGCCACACTAAGGGTCCCAGCCACATCTATATAACCCTACCGAAGTTATATCAAAACGTATATTTTTGATAATGGATGGATTTTCAATATTCTCATGCCAGCTGGAATTTACTAGTCCACACTGGTTATCACTTTTTTTTTCTTTTTTTTTTATCATGGCACTATGTTTTGCCCTTTTCTTTTTGTTGTGCATAAGATTACAGCAGTTCTTGTATAGCCACAATAGCTTTCACAAGCGCGGTTGTCATTGAATATAACAAACATGGCATGGAGAGAACTTGCACATTTTTCGTGTTTTGTGTATCACTTAAACAAATCGTTCTGGTAGCGAGAAATCCTGACATGAACTAGGCATTAAATAGAGACAATTATAAGCTTGGATTTTGCATGTCAGGATGTAGATTCAGGTTGTTAGTATGCTAGACACAGGTAAGTTGCCGCTTACGCCGAGGCCAGTGGAAGGTAAAGGCATGTATAACAAGAAAAGTCAGCCTCATATATCATAAATGCTGCACCTTTTTTTTGCTTTAACCCCTTAAGGACCAAACTTCTGGAATAAAAGGGAATCGTGACATGTCACACATGTCATGTGTCCTTAAGAGGTTAAAAGGTAAATGAAACGAGTTAACCAGTATGGCATTAAAGTTAAAGCACTATGGGAGAAGCTGATGTGTGATTATATATGCGTGGTAGGAGGGTTAGACAGTGGAGGAACATAGCATATTATAAGATACAAGCGTTGTCTTCAGCGTTTATAATACATTCTATGCAGATTATGCGTTTAACATTTATAAATGAACAGGCTTAGGTAGCCCCATGCCTACAGCGCATTCCGGGCAAGTCACATTTTGAATGTCAGTATATGAACAGGCTGTAGCATTTTTTAATGCCGGCAGGCCCTTCTCTCAAGACGATACTGTACTATTATGTAAAGTGGATTAATGAGACCAGCGTGATGGCAAACATATTGATTAAAGCAATGTAAGGAACAAAGTGATAGCTCGGTTCAGATGTACATTTCTAGTGGTCTGTAGAAGGAAGAGGAGCGTTTAACCATTAGATTATCTGTATATATTAGAAGGACACAATATGATATGATTAGGTTACCGCGAGCATTGCAAGCGTCTTGAATGTCCCTGTTGGCTGCTCAGCCGATGCCCAGCGGTGGGAGGCTGCAGAAATGTGATCACCAGAGTCCAGTTAAGTTTTTGTGAGGCACCCTCGAGTTCTGGGTTCTTGATGTCCGTTCCAAACACCCATTGCGCTGGACGTCGACAAGTGGAGTATGGGGTAGTTCTGCCTTAGGAGAGGTCCACTGTGTTTTCGTTGGCTTTGGCAATGTGCATTCCGTGGCTGTCTGACTCGACCTGGTTGGTTGCTGGGTGTGTGGAGGGTTCGCAGCTCTCTGCGGCTTTGCTCTGGTGCATGGTATCCTCTTGCGTGTTTGCCTGTAGACGGAGGACATTTCCTTCTGCGGCACCATCTTGGGGCATTATGTAGTTTAGGAGCGGTTTGCTTGCGGCAGGGTTGCTTGGGTTTTTCGTTGTTCAGGTGTGCGCTTGTTTTGATCTGCCATTCCCGGCTCTCCAGCTTCGCCCAGAAGGCTTCAAAAATGGCATTTCGGTGGGGCGTGGCCGGAACCCGAGCCACATGGTCGCGGGTTGAGGGAGCTCCGCCGACAGGGCTAAAAAAACGGCGAAATAAGCGGCACAAATAAGCACACACACCGCAGAAACTCACCCCAGAGATGTCCCAGCACCGGGGGAAAAAAGCGGCGGAACCCAAAGATAAGGCAGCATTCTTTGCAGCCCGTACGCCGCAAGTGAAAACCGCGGGTCAGCCGATCCAAGATGGCGCCGAAACGGAATCAGACAGCGACCAGGCAGCAGGTACAGGCTTAAATAAACATACCCTGCAACACATGTTAGATGACCTGGCAGGGAAAATGCAGAGCACGTTCCACACAGCAATAACAGAGCTGAGAAGAGACATAATGGACTTAGGCAGCAGAACTTCACACTTAGAGGGCAAAATGGAGGAATTTGCCACAGCACATGATTCCATGGCAGACAAAATGGAGGACATAGAAAGCAGACTGGAGCGCTTTGAAAATAAAATCATGGATATGGAGGATCGCTCCCGCCGCAACAATTTAAGGCTAAGGGGCATACCTGAGGCAGTACACCAGCAGGATCTAACAGCCTACGCTACAGAATTCTTCCACTCTCTGATGCCTGACATTCCGGCAGATTTGCTGATCTTAGACAGGATACACAGAGTAGCAAAGCCTGCGCACTTACCTCCCTCCACTCCACGAGACGTCCTCATGAGAGTACACTATTTTCACATAAAAGAGCAGATATTGAAAAACCACCGCTCCAACAGAAACGTTCCAGACAAGTTTAAAGATATCAGCATCTATACAGACCTATCGGCAGAAACGCTAAGAAGACGTCGGACGTACCGAAACATCACAGAGACACTCCGTCAGCGCAACGTACAGTACCGCTGGGGATACCCGGTAAAGCTGCTTATTACCAAGGACAGTAAAACGCATGTGATAACATCCACCGCAGAGGGCACCGACCTTCTCCAGTCGTGGGGCATCACAGTGAACAACATCCAGGGCGCGGGTCAACCTCGAAGCAGTAAACTACAAGGGGAATGGCGAGCAGTCAGAGCGAGGCGGACTACCCCGCGCACCGAACATTGAAGCACCAGAGACATTCGCTAATTGTTGACTGATGACAAAGGTTTGGGGAATGGGGGGGCGGGGTGAGGGGACGATAGAGGGGGGCATCAGAGGGGCAATTAGTAGACCCGGGGTCGGGAGACGCCCCACATCACCTACGCTCGAGGGGCTCCGACAGCAGGTGAAGCACCACCTGAGGCAACCCACAGACCGTTGTAGCCTTCCCTCACTCCCCCCCCCCCCTCTTGGACGCTGACAAGTCCAAAGAATCAGTGGGGCGAACCATACAATAGCCGACTGATACTAACAAGACAAAACAGAAAGGAAAAAAAAAAAAAATTGACCAAAACTCGAGCAGAGACCCCTCCCCCCCCGACATATGAGAGTTACTCCGCTGCTACAGTGCTTACTGGCAGAGAGCCCAGTCGAATGACTAGATCCCGACTCTAGACCACATATGGTTAGACCGGACCACCTACCCCCAATCCAAGAAGGTCACTCTCTCGACCTTCAGCAGGAAATTTTGAACACCTCAATAGTGGTGTTCAATTATAGTTTAAGTTTAAGTTTTAAAATGTTCAAGTTATGTTTACTTGTTGTGTGTCCCCAACCAGATTACGCCATTGCACTACACCATTACCACAGGGCAACGCCCAAGCACCACCACCCCAATAGTATGTGGCACCCCCAACCGAATTATGGTCCTAAGCCCCAGAGCTATACACGATTCCTCAGAAGACCTGCCACCACTCTCACGCACAAGGCGCCAACGTTATACACACAGACAGTCGACCCTACAAACATCCGCACGAGGCCACAATCCAAGCCACATAGTTGAACCACAAAGAGTATGAAAATATACACCCATAATGTCAGAGGGTTAAATACCCCACAAAAAAGGCACACACTCCTTAAGGAACTTAGGGGCAACCAAGCCGATGTGATATGTCTACAAGAGACCCACTTCTCTGCAGATACAACTCCCACTCTAGGGAAGACAATGTACCCCCATCAATACCATGCCACCGCACGCACAAAACGGAAGGGAGTCTCTATCCTCCTCAGCCGTCACTTAGCCTTTGAAGAAATTATGGTGAAGAAGGACCCGCTAGGCAGGTACATTATACTGATCTGCACTATCAACAGCTCCACCTATACCATAGTTAATACATACCTACCAAACGTAAACCAGGGGGCATATCTCAGTAATCTGCTAAAACTCACATCTCAACTACAAACAGGCACCACGATCATTTGCGGGGACTACAATCAGTTCCAAGACCCCACACTAGACTCCTCAGCAAAACACACAACCAGGAGAGCTAAAACACTGCACAGACAGTGCAAAGCCTTAACCAAACTCCTAAACACATATGGGCTATACGACGCATGGCGCACGCTCCATCCGCAAGGAAAGGAGTATACATATTATTCACAGGTGCACAACACGTACTCAAGAATAGATGGGTTCTTACTTCAGAGTGCACACCTAAATAGAGTGATAGACTGTATGATCGGAACAACCCCCTGGTCGGACCACAACCCAGTCACACTACACTTAGCAGACCATTACAACTATAAGAACAGAGGCCCATGGAGGTTAAATGAACGCCTCCTTGGCGACCCCCATTTTGTACAGACGTTGGAACAGGACCTACACACGTACTTCCAGTCTAACGATACACAGGACATAAATGCCCTCACACTATGGATGGCCCACAAACCGGTCATCAGAGGTATTCTCATCAAACGAGCCACTCACCTCAAAAAACAGCAGAACCTCACTTATACCCAAAATCTCAAAAAACTGCAAGACCTACACAGAGATAACATACTCACCCCCTCCGCGAACACGCAAAAACAGATAAAGGACTTGCAAAATCAGATTAATGTAGCAAATTTCCAAAAAGCGAGTTATGCACTTAAAAAACTGAAAGCCAACACATTTGTCCTAGGCAATCAGGCAAGCAAAGCCCTGGCCCAGAGACTTAGAGATAAACAGGCCCAAACAAAAATACCCTACCTGCTTTCACCACAAGGCCTAAAATTGACCCAACCCATACAAATCTGCAATGAGTTTGCGTCTTACTACAGTTCCCTCTATAACCTAAAAGACAACCCCCAGGTACATCAACCCACCCAAAAATCGATCACAGAATATTTACGCAGGTTTGACTTGCCCAAGCTCCGCGAACAACAAATAGCGCACCTAACTAACCCCATCACAACTCAAGAAGTATTACAGCTAATAGACAAGATGCCGAAGGGAAAGGCTCCCGGTCCAGACGGCCTCACCAACCTCTACTACAACACATTCAAACACATCCTGAGTCCATACATAGCGCAAGCCTTTAATTTGGCTACGAAACAGGGTAGCCTACCGACCGAATTCCTCGCAGCCCACATTATCACTCTACCTAAACCGGGTAAACCACCCACTTCATGCCCAAATTTTAGACCCATTTCCCTACTAAGTGCGGATGCTAAATTATACGCCAAAATATACGCGGAGAGACTCAAAACAATCCTGCCTGACCTGATATCAACGGACCAAGTGGGATTCGTGTCCGGCAGACAGGGCCCAGACAACTCAAGGAAGGTGTTAAGCATCCTCCACTACCTCAATAGAACCAAAATACAAAGTACACTCCTATCCCTAGACGCTGAAAAGGCGTTTGACCGGCTTAACTGGCAATTCCTGCAAGAAGCGCTCACAGGGTATGGCTTCCCCCCTACCTTTCTAAACGTGGTGAAGGCACTATATAGCACCCCATCAGCAACAGTGCTGAATTCAGGGTTTAGCTCCACCCCCCTACCAATCACCAACGGCACCAGGCAGGGCTGCCCTCTTTCCCCGCTACTCTACGTGCTAGCCCTGGAACCGCTAGCCATAGCGATCCGGAACAACCAAGATATCAAGGGGGTTTCCATAGGTGGCAAGGAATACAAACTAAACCTGTTTGCGGACGATATCCTTCTCACACTAACTAATCCAGCAATCTCTCTCCCAAATCTCCACAGAGAAATCCAAGACTACAGTAGGCAATCGTACTACCAGTTAAACCTAACTAAAACACAAGCCATGTGCTTAAATACCCCCAAGACTGACGAAGAGAGGTACCGACTCAATTTCCACTATGACTGGAGGAATGACTTCTTGACTTTCTTAGGTATCAAACTTACCAAAAAACACACCGACCTCTTTGTAGCCAACTACATTAAATTACACAAAGAAGTGGAGCACATATTGCACTCATGGCAAAACAAGTTCCTTTCTTGGTTAGGCAGAATAGCGGCCATCAAAATGACAATCTTGCCGAAAATCCTCTACTTGCTCCGCTCTTTACAAATACCCTTATCGCAGTCATTTCTACACAGACTCCAATCTAGCCTGATTAAATTTAGCTGGGGGGGAAGACATCCCAGGGTCCCAAGAACATTGCTCATGAAGCCAATAGACGACGGAGGCCTGGGCCTCCCGAATCTTAAGGCGTACCACCAGGCTGCACAAACGGCCAACATTATTGCCATGCACTCCACTACATACACCCCCCAATGGATAGAGATAGAGGCTAGTTGTAGCGGGGTTGCGGATCTCCCTGCGGCCCTGTGGATACCCAAACAACTGCGCCGCACACCGCCAAACGCCCTACCCACCACTAAACTTCTGTACCGCATATGGGACAGTCAAAGGTCCAAACTATGTTCCGCAGAACCATGGTCTATGGCAACGCCACTACACTCAATAAATCTCTACAATAGCACATTCCCATACAGAACATGGAAGGCCT